TGAGACCAGGCCTTGGTGAAAAGGCTTTTGTGTTTAAAAAACATGCTATTAACTGCTTAACACTCTAATGCTTTTCAGAGAACACAATGTTTTGTTTGCTTAACACGTAACAAATGGATGACGTCTCTAGGCTATTGACAGAGTCCATTTCCATTCATAAACAAACTTTCCGTGATGCCCAGCCTCCGCCATCAAGCTACTTGAATTACCCAGAGCTTAAAACATCTCATTTAAAGCAACACAAAGGAACACGGAGTTTAAATAACACTTTTCTGTGACGCCTGCTCAGTAGGGCTAGTTGACCTGTTAAGATAGCTCAGGCTGCGCAGGAACACCCCTGCCTGGGACTGCAAAGACCACGAGATAAAGCCTTTCCTCTTTGTACACAGGCCCGTGCAGAGCACTAAAACCCCAAAACAAGGGCCAAGATCCATACAGAGATTTTTGCAGCAAAGAATGAATTCAGAATTTATTCATTAGAGAAACTGGCATGGAGACTTTCACAAAGATAAACTTAAAAGCTTATCAAAGCTCAACTTAAAGAATGCCCAACTAGAACCCAAGATCCGGAATCAGCCCGGGTTGTACAATGTATATACTGTACAATTTCTGTTTAAGGGCTTAATGTGCTAAGTAAGTGGATGCTTTGGGGTTACAGCAGCATCAACACCTTATCTGGGTGCTGGGAGAGGAGGACTAAGGAAAGCCAGGTTGCTGTAGTAGTGGTACTTGTGGACAGTCCCTTCCACACCAGTGTCCCAGGATGGTGACAGGGGACACCGTGGTGCAGGAGGTGCTGTCCTCTAGACGACGTCGTGCACCAAGGTCCTCATGAGCCGCTCAGTAAAGATCACAGGGCCCTGCCCGCGGTGAGGAGGGGGTATTGGCCCGCCTCCGGTTTCCTCTTTATCCAGGCGGTGAAAGAATCGCCCTCTTCTCTACCAGAGCTGCTGCGAAGGGGACATCTTGTAATGTACAGGACGACGGCCGCCCTCTTCGAGGGTGTCATCCAGGTGAGGTCTGCTCTTCCCTGGCGAAGGGAGTATGTGTAAAGCACCCACCCCTTAGGGCTGAAAAGCACTATAAAACTTGAAATAATAATGAAAGCTAAAACCACACCCTGCTGGAGATTGCCCTCGGTGGGAGAAGGAGTGTTTCGGAACCCGTCATGATAAATATATACTGTACATGTTGTGATATATATAAATACCTATAGTCTACATCATTCACTGTGATACACCATATAAAATGCAAGGAATTGCAAGCTGTTATACACCATTATTTGCACTTGCACTTGAGCCGATTCTGATCTAAATAGAGCTTACTTCTGTGCTGTAACTATTTACATAAGAAAATGTGTGGACAGAATAGTTATTGTGCAGAATGTTTCCCTATCATATGGCTTCTCTTGAATCGAACACCACATCTGACAAAGGCCCTTAGCGTGACAGAGCTGACCTGCCTCCGAGCTGCTCAGAATCAGGAGATCATGGCTAAAGCGCTACAGGGAGGCCTTCAGCATTCAGCAATGAGAACTGGAGGTCTAGGGGAGAGGAGAACTCAGCCTCCTTCTGGGCATTTTGCACTTTCTTTCCCTTCAGTCTGGAGAGAGCCGTGAAACTTTAAGCTCCCTTGTGAACCACGGAAAAGGCAACCCAAAACGCTGAACGCAAGCTTTACAAACATACAGAGCGCGCATGCCGAAGTGACTAAAACTCTCATGAAGGGAGCCAAAGGACAACACAAACAACAGCGAGGCTGCCTTAACCAGGCCCGTCCTACACAATCCTTCCCTTGTGCATCCAGACTGCCTTTAAATTGTGTTCACAAAAAGCATCACTCGGCCTCACCCTGCCCCTCCAAACAAGCCCCACTCTGTCCCTGGGCACTTAAGGCCATATAAAATGCTATGAGGTCTTACGAGGGTGATCGCGCATTTACATGCTGAAATATTCCTTCTCGGTGCTGTCCGTTTCTTTTCCTTGTCCTGTTGGTTAAGCAATCCCACACTTCTGGACGGTGTGTTAGAAAAAAAAAAAGAGAAGACAGTTAATGCCCATTTCTCCAAGCTGCGTCAGTGATGAGCAACAGTACATACTGTACAGCAGCCTAGTTTCCAAGAATACCCTGCTGACATTCCACACATCCCATCCAACATCTGTCACGGCAGCACTGATTCATAAAGCACTGCAAGCCAGCCACTGCTCCTCCTCACATACACAGGACACCGATATCTTTCTCTCTGAGCAAAGAAAGATGCCACAGCAGCTGAAGGCTTGAATTAAGCAACTGCTTTCTACACATAAAATGGTGAATTGATTTGAAACTGACCTTTAACTAAAAAACACAAATATAGCCAGACTTACCTTAAGTCCAGCAAAGGTTTTACTTCCCTTTGCTTCATTCACTAAAGAGTAAGGCAAAAATAATGACATATTGTCAAGTTTGAATTATTGCTCTATCCCATCACCCCGCCTGTTCTTGAGAATACCTAGAGGAAACGGAAGACAGACCGTGTGAGTAAATATCAGATGCGAAAGGCTCAGACAAGCAGCCTCTGTCTTTCTCTGGGTCACCTGGGTTCAGGCCTGTGAGGGCAGCACACACCTGAATCCCAATGAGCATCATGGTGGCCTCAGCGCCGCTGCTTTAAAAATCTTAAAACCTTCACCCTGTTGGAAAAGGAACCCTGACAAATCATTAATAGTTTTATGAAATATTTGTACTTATACAGGATATGTAAATTCAATAGCCATTCCCATTGCAAAACTGAAAAAAATGGAAATACCTGTATATATATAAATGGCGAATTAAATCCAGCTGTTAAATAAAGCAGAAGGAACAAAAGTCAGCAGACTGGGATCACAAGAACCTAAAAGGTACAGGATTATGGAATTGTGGAGATGGGTCTCAATCCAGTGGATTGGGATTCCAAATGCATGGATACCTCATGGCCTGCTGTTTCTGCCTTTCCCAGTAGATCAGGAAGGAGAAAGGCACATTGAATGCTGTGTGCAGACCACACTGCCATTTCCTAAACCTCCCAGAGGGTACTGTACCTTGTGGCAGACGGCCAAAAGTTCGGATTACCTTTTTAGGCTTGGGAAGGAAGATAAAACTGTAGCGTTCTCAGCTCCAAGTTTTTGGTTTGGCAAACCTCAGCTTTACCTTCCCAAATTGATAAGATCACTTTATTGGCCATATACAATTTCTTGCATTAGATATTTGTCTTTTCGCATACTCCAGCTTGCCCTCCATGAGACACAGACAGGGAGAGAAGCTGGGGGTCAGAGCGCAAGGTGAAATGCGGCTGGGAAGACCCATCAAGGACTGGATCCAGGTGTCCTGAGATCTTTATGAAGAAAGCCCACACAGGGGCACATCCGGACTCATCTGCAGGTTTACTCAAAGACCTCTCCCGACCTAGAACAGGGTTCAGGGGCCTCCAAGTTTTTCCTTGGAAAAGGTTGCCAGGGGCAGCACCAGAAAGGAAAATGCACATTTAAAAAAAAAAATGCGCCACTGCTCCATACAAAGCTCTTCGAAGTTTACAGTTTTCCTACGTATGTAGAATTACAAAAACCAGCTAACCGAGGTGGGAATTCTACAAGTACGCTTTTTACTTCAGACCCATTTTAAAAACCTCAGCAAGCTAATCCAACTTAAGCCGAAAGGGTTGACTGCTCGCTCTCAAAAGAGCTGCATGTTAACAGCCTGTACTTTTCCCACCTTTGACTGGCCGTCTGCTTATTAGAAATAAAGCCCATGTTGCACGAAAGGTAATTTAATATCCATTGTAAGACTTGCATGGGTTCGCAACTGAACGCATCTGATTTTTCACAATATGAGTGAAAACGTGTCACTCCTCTATATTGTATACATATGAGTGGAATGAAAGGGATATCAAGCCATCCAAGCAAACTGGATTCTGCTGCCCATGGCAACAGTGGGTGGTGAACAGAAAACCCATTGTCTGAAACACTGGTGTCTTGCAGAAAGAAAACACCCATTGTACATTATAAAGGAATCCTTAATATTCACTCCCTAGAATTCAAATGTCTGTTTCTTTCCTACGCTAATGTAGATAAGGATCCTGCCTTCTTGGGCTATAGATTTAAATGGATTAACATTGTTACAGGGCTTAAATTTATGTTAAAGGCTGTTATTGCCATAGCCCCAGGACTGCACAATCTCCTTCCACTTTTCAATACATTCACACAGAAACTGCTGTATCCCCCGCTCAGGAAACCAAGTGCTATAAATTGCTTTTCAGACACTTGAAGTTATGCATTTCCTTTTACTGTGAAAGACTGTAATGACCCTTCAAAAGCTGCTTTTCACACTCTGCAGCACTGTTCAGATTTCTCCACAGTTATCTGGTTATGTCTGAAAGCTACAGGCACTGAGCAGTTTCAGATCAAATACACTTTCATAAGTATTGAATACAAGCCCAAGGGTCCATTTTGCAAAGTGTGACATTTTAAAACATTTAAAATACATAAGATTGCTTTAATGTGATGGGGGGGAGCAAAGTTTATTCACAAGTAGGAAATAAGTTGCAACCATGTTGGAACATTTTTTCCCCCACCCAATACAACTTAACTGCCTATTAAGCAAAACTCAATATTCAAAGAATAAACCATGTTCACAGAAGAGTCACAGCTAAAAAAATTACTACGTACAGACATGTGGGGTTTTAGTTTTTTTTTTTAATCACTTGAAATGGAACGCCACTGTCCCTGAAAATAGAGATTTACAGTAACCTAGAAGATAAAAATCTCAATACAGTACAGCTTACTTTACAGAGGTTTTTTTTTTAGGCACTTGGAATCACAGAGTTTCAACATTCCCCTCTTTAAACACAACCAGCAACAAAAATCTTTGGTCCTTGAATGTCCTTTAAAAAAAAAAAAAAAACACCACAAAAAAAGAGCAGACAAAACTGTCTCAAGATTTTTTTTTCTTTTTTGAAAAAACGCAACAATGCATTTTATATTTACTTTTTTTTTTAAACATTAACTTTACACTGGGGGGGGGGGGGGGGGCACAATCGCTTCAATCCCCTCCCCCAACACACGCACACGCACACACACCACCTTTTTGCTACATCTGAAAAGGGACCACTCGGGCTTAAACATCCACACCACGACAACCGAAGTCCTGTGAAGAAAAACCAAAAAAATATATCTAATAAATCGGCTCAAGTCAGATATACAGCAGTACAAGTTCAAACGCAGAAAGACATCACATTTGGCAAAAAGAAATTTCCTTGCGTTCTCCTTCTATAATGGAAAATGTCAGAAATGCGACTGCTGCCGATGCTCTGAGCAGACTTTTCCCCAAACCCCCCACCCCAACCCCGACTACCCCAATCAGTACATCTCCATCTCACCGGCTCCACTCCTCAGTTGCAGGGCAGCCACGTCTGGTAAGAATTACTGCAGGGCGACACCAGCGGCTGCACGTGTGCAATGTAGTAGTTGTTGAAGTTGATGTCCCGGACGTAGGGGGCGGGCTGGTAATAGCAGGTGACGTTGGTCACGGTGGGGATAATGTTCTGCTCGGCCAGCACCCGCAGGGCCAGCATGGAGATGAGGTTGAGGGTCTGCCGCCGCTCGTGGCCCATGAGGCACACCGTGCTCTCGTTGACCACGCGGTGCAGGGTGACCAGGCAGTCGTAGCGCTTGTGCTCCATCCCCACGAAGTGGTTCTGCAGGTAGGCTTCCAGCTTGCGCTGCTGCTCGCCGATGTCCGGGAAGTCGATGAAGAAGCGGGAGCACATGTAGCGCTGCAGCGACTTCATCTCGGCCTCCGAGCTGGGCCGGAAGCCGCGCACCAGCAGGTTGCAGTACTTGAGCAGCCCCCCGCCCCGGATCTCCTCGGGGCTGCGCGTGGCGATGGTCTTTCGGCGCAGGTGCTCCAGCGCCTCCTCGAAGTCCCCGTACATGCTCTCGCCCAACACGGTGGGGTGGAAGCTCTCGGACATGGGGGCCTCGGAGCACTTGTCGAAGAGCAGGAGCGAGTCCAGGGCGATCTGGAAGGAGTCCACGCTGAACTCGAACTGCCGCCGCAAGGAGTCCACGAACTTGAGCTCCACGTTCTTGCCCGTGTTGTTGGACAGGGAGATGAGGCTCCAGCGGTCGGTCTCGTTGCACACCTTCACCAGCTTCTGGACGTAGGCCTCCTTCAGGGTCAGGGGAGTGATGCGGTCCTTGTTGACGCCGGCGGGCAGGAAGTCCAGCAGGCTGTCCAGAACCACGTCCTTCACCACCCGGAACTCCCTGTCGCTGGGAAGAACCACCCCGAAGATCAGGTCCAGGTCCTTGTAGCCCAGCCCACTGTCCTGGTGCAGCACGTGGCTCGCTGCCGACCCATTCAGCTTTACATCCCTCACGGGGATCCCCTTCTCCTCCAGGCGGTTTCGCACTACCTGAGGAGGAACAGATGGGGAAGAACAAGATCTGAGGTCAAAATTAAGTCAAGCATGAAGCAGTGGGACAAACAGCATAGGACATCATTAGAAACATCCTTCTTAAGGATGAGAATCAAAGGAGATCAAACACCTTGTCCCGTATGGGACCTTGCAAGTCAGGGCAAAACAGACGCCTGCAGTTCACACCCACATGGATTCATCTACCTCCACCTGCTAGATGTATCCTACAGTATGACAGAAGTGTCCACTCCACCTCCAGGCCTCTTAAATTCTTATTTCAATGAGTAGGCCGCGCAGAGAACAAATCATACTGCCCACAATAAATCAACCTCAGACGTCTACAGACAAAATTCCGTACCAATAGCAAGTCAGAGCTACGGAAAGTGAAAAATGCAATTTTGAGAAGTGAAAATACCAGTTTTCAGGTTTGCCAATAATAAGAAATAAGACCGGCCTCTTTAGGCCAAACTAACCCTGGCCCTTCGGAACTATTCCACACAGCCGCCTACAAACCAAGGGCTACACTGTCAGTGTCTAAAACAGCATGCTGTGCCCGGAGCTGAATGCCGTCTTTAAAGCTTCACACAACAGGACTCAGGTGCTCAGAGGAGTCATAAACCTGAGAGCGGCTGGTTAAGTTGGTTCAGCTCATTGTGAAGCAGAGTTTTAAATGTTAAGCAAATAGCATTAAAATGGCAAGAAATACACTAAAACATACCAGCAGCGCAAGCTTTACCTAGGATCACAGATTCATAATGAATTCATAAATCCTTATTTATTAAATGAAAGATGTAGCCCTTAGACTACCTGTAAGCATGGGTCTTAAGACGGTAAAACTAACAATTTAACACTGGTATACACTGGAGCACTGCTTTTCTTTCGCTAAAACATGGGACATTGCACTGAAGTGGGTGGGGAGAGTTTTTCGGGAAGTCCAATGCAGATAAATTTGAATCAAGTTCATTTTTGTTTTTTAATTCCCAGAAAAGGTGTAACATTGTCCACACATGAAGGATCAGCAAGGTGTGTGTTCTTCTACGAGCTAGTCTTGGGAATATGAAATGTCCACCACTGCCACCTTCTGGCCCTATTTCACATGACGACCTACCAAGAAGAGTTCAAGAAGCCCTCCCCCGAGTTTCCTTGAAGAAGGCTGTTCTAAGAGACCAGAGCGAGACTCTCAGCTCCTGGAAGTCGGGGGGAGACCATTTAACCCTAACATGACGACACCAGTTACTGTTGCACATGCTTCTGCTGAGAAAGGAATGTGTTTTGACCACTGCAGTCCCTCTAGGGATATATAAGGAAAAGCTCTCTCCCGGCCCTCGCAGCCTCCCCTCCTCATTCCCTTTCATTGCCCAAGAAGCCATACTGACCTTTCATCCACTGAGCTACGCCACCTGTCATCAATAGATATGACACAGGAATCCGAAACTCAAAGGCCAACACAAACCACCTCATCGTTCACCACAATCTGTCTCCCGTCCAGACTGACGCAACCCTGACCTTCATCGCTTATTTAAGAAACACTTTCAGTGCACTGAACTGCACAGATCACTAATGACTAGCATTTTGCAAAACATGGGACTTCTCAATATGCTTAAGAAGCATCAAAGATCAAGATATTGCTGCCTATGCCTGTAACTATTGATCTGGTTAAAGCATGACAAGGTCTTTGCCACTAGTTATGTCAGGACAGAACCTATATCTTGAGAATCTGCACCTTCCTCCTAAACTTTCTAATGAATCCCATTCAGTATTCCCAGGCTGATTTTTTACAGCCCCGTGGAGATCTTGTTTCAGAGGACAGAAGCATAACCTGTAGTCATGAGAGTCTCAATATAGCCATTTCCATATGAAGAACTGCTGGTGGAGTCCATACCCACAGGTGATTTATCGCCCCCAGAAAAGCAAGGAGTTCCAGGAAGCGAGAAGACCACAGCAACACAAATGTGCCATTCCACTGCTTCTGATATTAGTGCTTTAATTTCAGCTCCAGACCACACAGCATTGTTCAAAACATTTCCAACGATTTGCTGAACACCAAGCCTCCGCAGCATTGACAGGTACTGGAGATCAGAGGAGAGAAAAGGTTCAACTTCCAAACTATTTGGCAGAACCCAAGTCCAGTTGAGTACTAAACTTTCTGTGGTCCAAGTGCAATCATATTTTGGAGTTTTAGATTGAATTAAAAAACAATAGGATTCCAATGCACAGGGCCTTATTGCAACTTCATGCTCTAAACCTCTTTTAGCTACAGTGTATTGCTACCAGAGTAAACCCAATACTGACTGCTTTTTAGGGAGCAACAAAAACTGTCCCCACAGAACTGGAACCTCACCCCATGATTCTTTTACGACAGCCCTGTAAACTAAAAACCTGCAGCCCTTAGCAAATAAGGTCTCAGGAAGCACACTCAAAGGCAATGCTGTTTCACCTGTGGCAAGTCGGAGTCACTCTGGCCCAGACCCTTGCTCCAGGCAGTTCCTTAACTGCTGTACTAATTGTCCTAATCCTCAATTGCAGATTTGTAGCTGGAGCTGCAACGGTTAAGAAGGGCCATATAGCATCCATTGTATTGGTTTATGAAACTATGAGGGAACACCTGATCAAACCTTTGGGAAAAGTGTCAGAGCAGGGCTGGCCACACTTCCAAACCCACAGCTGCCTTCTCCTCACATGCACTCTGTTAAGTCGGACACAGACAGTCAGGACAGACTTATCCCTAACCCTCTCTGCAAGATCAGGTCAGTCACATAATACGATGTACCTATTTATAATTTCCACATCAGTTTTAATAAGTGGCTGACCTGTCCAAATACCCTAAGGTGCCATAAATAAAAAGAGGTTTTTCCCCAAATACTTTTCTTTTAAAATCAACCAATTAAAGCTCTTTTGGATTAAATTTCAACCTTAATACACCTAACAAACTGGCTGTTCAATATACACTGACTTTGGAAGTTCACGTATGCCAAACTGTGTCAAGGTGAAATAAAAAGGCACTGGTGGCCTCTCCTAAGAAGCTCTACCCTGTCGGCCTCTCTAAATGGAAAGAGAATGTTTCCTTTTAATCCATATCCATATTTATACTCTACGGGCGTTAATATCCTGGTAATACAATGCAGGGATGAAGCCAGGCTAAAGTCTGCCACAGCTGCAGTGGAGGCATTGAGGCATCAGTCCGGAAAGACTCGGACCACGGGCTAGAGGCAATCACAAAGTCAACTGAACCAAAGAAGTCAGGACTGGCCGGCAGCAACCCTTCAGATGCAGAGGATCATTGGGATTCTCATTTGCAGCACTCACTGAACAGCTTAACCAAAAACGGGCCCACGTCTGAAGAACCCGATTTAAGGAAGACCCAGAAAACCCGGATAGTGGCTCTGCAGGGCCCGGGCCAGGCACATTGCTCGCTATCCTTCTTTCCTCTGCCCGCTCTGGGTCCCAAAGGAGCTCGACTCTTCCACGTGCTCGCTCCACCAGCTGGGCAGCGTGCTCACACGACATCACTGCCTTCCATTCAGGATGTGCTTTAAGCGGCTGAAGCCCAGAGATGGCCGCAAAATACGGAAAAGCAGATGGGCATGTGCCAGTTGTATTTCACCTCTTCAATGAGACTGTGACATAACGCTGGCTGTGGCGTTCAGCGCCCCCACCACCTGGGCAGTCCCCCCCCCGCTCCCACCTCGCACACAGCTATCAGGAGCCAAGTCTACCAGCCAGCAAGCCGGCTGTGGCTCTGCTGCAGGGGAAGAAAAATATGACCTGGAACCCTGGTTTTCAAGAGCACCACAGCAAGACCAGAGCCTTTGCCCATTACACCCGTTTACAAATAAAACGGGTGCAGCCAGTTCGCAAACCTAGACATGACTGAACACAGTACTGTACTGAATTACACACCTGATTACAATGCACATCAGCTCCTTTAGACTGAACTCCGCAGACATGGCAGATCAGACCAACAGTCTGACACCTACTCCAGTTTTCCTGATGTGGTTCCAGGCCAGGTTTAACTTGCCTTCAAATTATCAGCTGGAGAGATACCACAATTCAGAAGCACAGAAGGCAAGGTTTTTATAGAGCTCAAGCCAATTTCAAACACCCAGAGGGCTCTACACAGCTCTCTGAAAGACAGCAGGTGCCCACTAAACACCACAGTGACACACTCACTGCCCATAGCCCTTTAAGATTATAAATGGGAAAAGAGGTGGCATTCCAATAACTCAAGTTGGCTACCATAATCGCCTCATTTTGTACAAAGTGCCTCCACTCAAGGCTCCAAGAGACTTGACTCTCCAATAGGTTTTTCATTTACACATGACCGATTTATACAATTACTTCCAGTGACCAAAGGTAATCTCTCTCTGCCTTATCCCTTCAGTAGCTGACTAGATTGTCGTGTCCAGTTATGTTCTGGACAGGGCTGTTTCATAGCCACACCTGTGTTTGCAAACCTGTGGCAGGACATCTTACACACTATTGGAGGGATTTTGCAAAAAGCCTCTTTAAAAGTCCAAATAAGATCTAGAATTTGTTGATCTGTCCCTAAAACCTCCCCCCCCCCCAATCAAATGCTAGCCTGTCCTTTGGCAAACTGCAGACTACTGACTATAAACCAAAAACCATTCAATTGTGAATAAACTACAATTTCAATGAAATTTCACCTAACTCTTGGAGGATTATTAAAGAATGCACAAGGCAGCCTTAACTGGCATCATCTTTCCAAAAGAAGCTTGCGTGTGAGGAGATCAATTTTAAATCAAGACAATGTTGAGTTTGCCATTGCAACTGTGTGGAGCTCTTCCAGAACAAATACTTGGGCACGACACGGGAGATCAGAGAGATATCCGATCAGTCCTCCATACACACCTCATGCCAACACATGCGCCTACAATGTGTGTGTATACAAACATCGCAAAGATTCCAGCATGGCTCCTTTGGGTTTGGGTTTTGGGGAGAAATGTCATAAAATGTCATAAAACAAACGTCCAGTCTTGCATGATAACCTGGTACTTTTGCTGCTACAAAAAATCCTTGTTTCACATGTCATCTTTGTGCCAGAGTCCTCACATAACATAAAGGTTACAACTGACAGAAGTCCTTTTGGCTCATTTAGCCTATCTGGTGGTTAATGGTTAATTGACCTAAGGATTATATCCAGCTGTTTGACAGAAGCCAGGGTATCAGCTCTAACATGTCTGAATAGCTTGTTCCATTCTCTTCTTTGGGTAATGTGAAAATGTGAATGACTGAAGGGGAAGTTTATACACACACACACATTGATACCAAACAGAAACATCAGTCTTCTTCTAACAACCCAGAGGCTAACAAGGGCCCAAGTTTCCGCTGTACCAAGAACCCAGGGAAATTAAGGCACAATCAAAGCTCTGAAAACCCATTACTCCACAACACAAACCCATATGCTTTAAAAACTACCACTTCAATGACCCTGGATCCAGGTACAGAAACAGGAGAAAAATAACTTCCTTCAGTAGAGGATCCCACCCACTCCACACATACTACAGTCTTTCACTGTCAACTTACTTGGAGACCAGACGTAATGGCAGATCTCCAGGTCAAGACTATTCATTCACACTGAGATGAATGATACAGTTCAGGCCAGGTCACACCGAGAAGGGAAAGGTCATTCTACAATTCAAATAAGAGGGAAAGAAACTGGAGTACATGTCTGGAGAAGGGACCCTTCTCAGCAGCAGTATTGTATTACTGCTGCAGCTGAGGCAGAAGTCGGTATGAGCTCAAATCTCTAAAAAAGTAGACCGAAAACCCACATTCAACACCCTTAGAGGACCAGTTTAAGTTGCAAGGGGCTACTAGGATTTTACACTCTTGTGAACCTTAGGAATCATTATATAACTGAAAGACATTTCTCCTCAAGGTGCACGCTAGTTACATAAAATCAGGTCTTTATTTTAACAGGCAAAGAGAAATAAGCTGCCAGGGAGTTCATTAGCAAAATGGTATTTTTGAGGTACAGTCCTTTCATAAAGAGGCAGGCCTTGTTCTATGTTTAGAGAATGACCCATTGCCATTTGTTCCTTGCAGGGGAGCAGCACCACTGGTTACACTCAAAATACTGACCTTTTTTAAAAAGAAAAAAACACTTTGTTAGCAATTACAGAGAAGATAAAGCATGAGATGCTTTTTTAACCATCTTTATATTTAGGAGAGGAAGAGCATACAGGAAAATAAACACAGCTGAAAAACCATTTGCTTATGAAGCAATACAAGTGCACTGCACTCAGTAACTTCCCTTAAACCTTTGGTTAGTCTGGCTAAATTGTTTTGGTGTGAGAAGGGGGGGGGAGGGGGATTCTGAAGACTGCTATTGGATCCTCTTCTCTACCAGTGAGGACTGCCTTTTTTCAATTAAGACTAGTAGAGGCTCCCTCTCCCCCCAAAAGAAAGAATAAACACCAATTTTCTCAAGGTCAAGGGCTTTTAAATTAAATTTACATTAGTTTAACTTCAGAGCCTTGTGCCACACTTGACTACAATGAGACTGCCTCGCAGAGAACGTGTGTGAGATAGAAAGACATCTTTCTCCATGACTGCCTATGCCATAATTATAAATTAGTTTAGGCTAATAACGTAGCCTTTTTTCCTTTTACAATAATTACACACTTGCCTGTCTATTGACGCTTAATTGGAGAAGAGCCTAACGTTATTAAGCTTCTGGGAGATTAACCCATTATTAGCTATGCTTCTCAATTTGGGGAAAAAAACGTATAAAGTGGAATTTGAGGCTTAGGGGAACGTCAATATTACGCCCCCCCCCACGGCACGACATTCACAACTGTCCCGTTTTCCTTTTCCACAGCCAGGTTCCACGAAGTCACTCGACAGAGTGGATGGGAACTCGGTGCGCATTAAAAACCGAAGTTGACGCTTCCTCAGCCCTGTGGTAACCACAAGATAGCATCGCTCTCAAATTCAACTCGCCACGACTAGTCAACAACCGGCCGTCTTTAAAGAAAGGGGGGTGGACAGAGTTAGACATTACACCCGGCCTTCTTTCATTTAACCATCGTGTTCTCCGGAGTCCAATGTCTTGCGTCATAACTTCCACAGACTAGCTGGACACTGACCTGCCGTCTTGAAAGAGCTAAATAAAACTCACAATTAAAGACTGTTGCTGGATTCCTGCCAGTCCTTGTCGTCTCGTCGCGTGTTTTTTGTGTGTGTGTGTGTCGAAGCTACTTCGTCACAGATCAGTGTAAGCATTTCAAGATGAGACATTTGATAGGAACTCCTGCCAAATTCACTACATCCACCCCGGAGCCCCATTCGCCGAGGGGCCGGGACTGCGACTTTTCCCACAGCACGGCTAATGGCCGAGCACTCCGACGGTTATCTCTTTTTTTTCCATCGGCACACCGCCAAAAGCTCGGATAAAACAGTTGAGACAAGAAACACGAGAGAAAAAAAAGTTCCGATCCGGAAGGGAAATCCTCAAGTGGATTTGCCGAATATCCAGAACTGTTTTCATATGGTTTAACTTTAAAAACCGACTACCGGTTTTTCGCCACGCAACCTCTAAACTCGAGGAACACCTTTCAAGATCTCCCACAGAAAAGTCCTATGCATCAAATTAGTGCACCTTCAGCAATTAAAACGCTACACCGACCCCCTCCATTCGAAAATGATTAAAACCCTGCAGTGTGTTTAAACTAGAACCTCAAGAACCACTGAAAATCCCGGAACTTATCTAACATTACCGAACACACAATGTTATAACATTGTGTATTAATTATTCATATACCAACCACTTCCCAAGAACTGTACAACTGCTGGAGAGAAAAAGAAACTCATCTGCGTCACAAGGGAAAGCTAAGGACTGCTGAGTCCGGATACAAAGATCGCAAGATTATCTCGTTACATTATTGTCGAGCCCTAGGCTTGTATTCCAAGCAAAGCGGCCCGGGTGATCTCATTTGCGAAGTTACGATGCTAAAAACTCGCGCAGCTGCTGAACATTAAGACGTCCCGCAGCCTAGTCTGCGAATGCACGGACGCTAACTGGCTCCGGAGGCTGATCAACTACAGCCTTGAACAGGACTACTTCATCCTCTGGCCGAAGTTACCGTTTACAGCTACAAGTCCTCTCTCTGCACGGAAAAAAGAAACCGTTAGAATTAAATTTGACTGTTGCAGAACCAACAACGTTTTTTGCTTGTTTTAAAAAAAAAAAACAAGATAAAAACTAAATAGAGCCTGGGAAAAATACCAACAGCATACAAAATGTCAACAACTACAGCGAAGAAGGATGACTAGTAAAAAAAAAAACTACAGAAATAAACTGCGCAATAATAATCGAGCTGTCTCGGATTACATTTCCTTTAAATAGCGTTTACCAGCGCACGCACTCATAAGTGCTCTGTCCATACTCACCATACACACCAACGCTGGCTCGCTTTTTCAATAAAACGTCATGAAAGCACAGCCCCGCTTCCTTGACCTTTCTGACGCTAAACTTACCTGCACAATTTGTCGCGGTTGCACTGACAGCGTTGGGAAATTCCCCCGTCCGTGGATCGGGACCGTCTCTCCAAGGATGGAGTCCAGTCTCTCCACCTGCTCCCAAGACAGCACACTGAACCGCGGACTGTGCTCCGACACATCACCGGAGGACATGGCGATCAAGCCCCGCAACTCAAGACTCGACTTTTTCCTGTTGTTTTTTTTTTTAATGAATACAACTGAAAACCAGTCCGCGATCCGCTCTTTACCAATTTGAATTAATTAAACCTATGCAATTTAAGAAAGAAATATCTATTTCAGTCTTTTTCCTCAATAGAATTTTCCAGAAAACGTTCCAGTCCCCCCCCCCAAGACAAAGTATAAAGCGAGAAGACCGTCGATGCTTTAAGCCGCAAAGTTTAAAGAAAAAAAAACTCAATGCGATACAGACGAGCTTCCAACGAAACAGACAATTCCCACTCCGTCACAGCCTCCACCACTCTCAGAATACTTTACCCAAAATGCTTGCGCAAGGCATGCTAACCGCTTTAAAGCTGTATGATTAACATAAGCCTCCCATTGGGTAGCGTGCCTCTTCTGAATAATTAATGCAGCCGAAGGGGCGTCTTTGCACGAGCACCGTTCACTCCGTGCACACCTACTGCCTTCTGCGCGTCTCCATAAACGGTGCGGTCATTGGATGCGCCGCCGGTCATGTGTGATGTCACTTAATTCGGGAACCTCCCACCCAGAAAGGCATTCCCGAATTCCCTCAAAAACACGGTGCGCGCTGCGGCCGTAGTGGGATAAGTCACGCTACACGGACCTGTGTACGTCTCTGGAGAACTGTAGTTCGTTGAAAACGAACGGCGCGTTATTGTGCACGCTTGTTTGGAACAGGCGCGTACCGAAGAGTGGTGTTTACAGATGGGACGACTTGACATCAAGCAGCACGCAACAACGATGCTAGTCTCTTTTGAACGCGTCCCCCGTAACTTCACGCGGTTTCCTGCGTGCTTCCTCATTTAAAAAAAAAACAAGGCTTGTTTTTTGAGACTTACCGTGCTGATTGTGATGCACGCTGCAAAAGCGGTAACAAAGCACGGTAACAGTAGGGTAAAGTACAAAACAGAATGTTAAGGCATAGTACAATGCATGCTTGAGCTTAAGAAACTATTTTATATGCACAGTTCAATCACACAGCGCAGCGCATTTACTGTACTAAACCGGCGATATGGGTCATTTATGAAAGCTACGCATCAGGGTGGTTAAATTTAAGAATTTAATAATTGAATTACAAAGGTTCATGGTTTATATGACACATGGTTACAGACGTTGGCCCTGAATACAAGTAAGGAGACCGCTCGTGGAAAAGTTGGCAATCAAAAATGAAAACGCGCAGTTTGCTTTAGATAAGGAAATGTAACATTATGTAAGATAAAATAGTTTATTCTTTCTTTTAATTTTGGCAGTACTTCTTCCTCTTTCAAATACACGTGTTTTTCAGTCCCGTGTGCTTTTCTATGTGGTAGTTATCCGGGGAAACAGTGAAGTTTATTACACAGTAAAGCTGGAAAATAATTCTTCAAAACCACGTCTAGCAGAATTAAAAAAAACAAGACTGAAAGTTCATTAATACTGTATATGACGCTGCAGAGGACTATAAAGGTCGTAACGACTTGTATGGAATAAAAAACAGTAACTCCACAAATACCTGCCCGAAACACACGCACTTAATCACCCCTAATCAACAATAATAAATGTTAACATGATAAAGCGAATTATACTACTGCAAAAGTTCTACTTTAGATTGAATTAAATTAAGAGAGCGTTTAACCATTCTATTTATTTTTTAGATATAGATAATCACTTTCAGATAACGTGAAGAATAAATGTGCTATTATCACTAAAAAGGAAATGTATCTTTCAGCTCTTTCAGATAATACGATTACAGTAATGGAGCAATTTTTTTTCTTAACTGGAGCATTACTTTTGTAAATTTGCCACGGTCGTTGAGTCGTTAATTCTCACCTAAACGATGTTTCCTATGTGTGTCCTCTCCACGATTACTACGTTTTACGGAATATAAAATATTACATGTCAACAGTTTATGGAGAGTGTCTCAATGTACAAAACAGACTACAATTTATAAATAAATCTTTAAATGTTAGATATGCAGGCGTTATAATTGGTCTAAACTATCTTTATGAACCGATAAATGGATGTTCATGGTGCACAAAGAAATCCCTTCTATTATACAACATTTTTAATTGCTACACGTGCACTGCGTGTTGTCCCGTCCTGACAGTACAGCGCTGCCAAGCGTGGCTCCGCCCCTATTCCGCCAGGTTTCTTTCTGTCCCAAAAAAACAAAGGGTTTCCTAGCAACAAGCAAGTCCACGAACTTTGCATAAGTCACGCTTTCTTAAACCTTAGCACATACCATGCCAGAGAGCGAGAGGCTGAGTTTAAAATGGACGCTTTATCATAATCAGTAATATGCTTAAGGGTGAACTAGGACGGCGCAGGAAAAAAGGGTTCTGAATTAATAAGGGCCAAATTTCTACTTCAGTTTCACTATTCACCCTTGGATAACAAAGATCCTAAAAGCATTTTTAAGTAATTTAGTAAGACGCAGTAAATCTGCTGTTGATGTAATTGAATTACAGTTTGCTCACAACAGCCCCTCTCCATCAACAGCTTTGCTCCTTGTTAAAAGCAGAGAGTCAGTTGAAATGAAGATCATTCAAAGCCCTGTAAAGCGCATTCTCTAAAGGTGTGATGTAAATCACACAAAGTCCACAGTGTAGTGGACTGGAGCACTGCTTTGGCCCCGAGGGAGGAGCGCCACCTACTGGTCCACCAACATCACTCACAGCAGCAACGTAGTTTTATATAGAGGCAGAACAAGCCAGGCCCAGCTTTGCTTGTCCTGTAATTTGAAAAATAGCAAAGACGACTGCGGTAACCGAGAGAGAGCTTTCTCAAACTCCGTCTCAACAGCATATTGAAACAGCTGTCCAAACACTTAGTCACCAAATCCGAAGCAAAACTAAAAACCAATTAGCCGGAAACTAAGATCTGGACTTCGGCTTACCATAGCCTGTTACCAACTCATTTTTATTGGCTCAAGGAAAAACTATGGCAATATTCATTTTGATTCTTCAGCTGTTTCTAATTGGAACAAGACACCTGCTGAGAGAGACTTCCTGTCCTGTGCTGAAATATAAGAGCCAGCCTAAGTCAGAGACTGCTGCTGCTTGCAGCAGAAACTGTTGTCTTCAACGTGCTCTATTTATGGATCGATTATGCAATATAAGTGCTGCATCACAAACTTTTCATAAATGCACACCCTTGTAAATCATCTCTGTTAGTGTCCTGTAATTGTTTTTCTTCTCAGGGAAAGTAAACAAATACAATGAACAAAAGCCAATGAGAAATTGGAGGTATTTTGGTTAAATGTGGCCCAAAGAGCTTGCTTGGTTTCTACAAGCTGACTGTTGCAATGCTCTTAAACAGCTCCTTCTTGACCAAAGCCGGGGTATCAGTTTCAACAAGATGACTGCGGAGTTTGTTCTGGACACCCACAACTCTTCATGTAAAGTGCCTCCTGTCCTCAGGACTGAACACACTCCCCCTTAGTCTCAACTTGTAGAGGCTGTTTAGCATTTGGGAGAGTGTGTGCCAGAGCATCAATGATTTTTTTCAGGGATTTTCTCCTTAATCACTAACTGTTACAGGACACAAGACGGGGAAGCTTGTGTGAGGTGTGGAGAGCCAGCTGAAAGCCAGGGGCGCGAGTCATACTCCTGCAACGTGGACCGAACCTGGAACTCCCAGTGGACATCTGCGGACCCAGAGATGGGATGGGACGGGGACGCCATCTGAATGGGATGCTGTCTCCGCGGAGACAGAGTCTTCAAAGCCATGATGTCAGCATGCTCCCCATTCCCTTAGCAACAAGCATCCCCAGTCTCTCTGATCCTGCTGCTGTTTTACTGAATAGTCAAAACAGACGCCCCAGCAATCCATCTGCGTCATCCTGCTATAAATAACATGTGGAGGGCAGAAGGGCCTTGAAACATTATGGAAATATTTCCAAGCTGGAAGTTGGGATCTTCTATGACCCTATTTAAGAATTCTTTAAGTCAAGTAGAAAAAAAAAACATTCTTGACATCATTAAGAACCTTTGTGTCTCACGTTTTCAAAGGATACCAATTTGTTTCCCCTTTCAGCTTGTTAAAGAAAGTAAGGTTCTTCAATACTATAATTACTAGAAATTACAGTAATAATGATATAATAGAGTAATATTAGCTTTCTGGTTTTTCTCAGCTGGATTTTAATCACATAGAGGTACGACACAATTGGGTTAATTTTGAGAGGGAACTAGTCAGCACAAAGGCAGATGATTATAAGGATATTCTCGTATACTGTGTTTAGAAATCCTATTGTATGATGCATGTCCTTCGTGGCGTTGTTGCCTAATGCTGGACCTTTAAAACTTGGTTCATTCAATATGAAGCCTGCTGGCCTGTAGCCGTGTCTGTGAAATAGCTGACGGTTTCTGAAAGGCTAATTCTTCAGGGTGATGCTGTAGGTTAACAATATCCTTTTAAGCACGCATGGGAATGTGAGTCTTGTAGGTGGAGTGGGGTTTATATTATTTGATCACACCTTGAATAAATGCAGAGCCACAGAGGATCATGTTTCCAGATATCTCTATTTAAACACCTTACAAAAGAAATCCATGGCAAACATGAAATATGTATAGTGCAATCCATGTAACAAATACAGTCAGCCTGTTTTGTTTCTAAACAGATCTACAGTATCTAATACGAACTGATTCAATGATATATGCATGCATAGCAACTGGAAACAGAGGATCATTAATAAAGCTTTAGCTTCAATTTCAGAGACATCCTAGTCTGTGTGGGTTTCAGACTGACTAAAGTAAGCAAATACATCATTTTGCTGCCAGGCTCCTAACCATAACAGTTAACCGCAATCCCTGTTCCTAATAGGTTGATTGGAAGGTCTCCCATTCAAAGGTAAGAACTCTGGCAGTATTCCACTGTGCTTAAACAATCTTTCATGTGGATGTGAAGGTAACACACAGAAATGATGGACACCTGCAGAAAACGCTGGTGTTGTTCATACGCTTCCCTGTTGACCACTAAGGGAAATAATCTGTCATCTCCCTGGGCAGAGTCTTGAAGGTCTTACAGTGTAGCCAACAACACTGCCTGATATTCACACTGCTGCTTCTTGATATTATAGAAGCTCCTGTGATAAGAAAAAGGGAAGCTTAGGGATCCTGAGAAATCTGACGAGGTCTTCATGCACCCACACTGACAGCATTTGTTCACTACTGTGCAGACCTCATCTGTGACCACTCCACTCCTAAAGGATGTGCACAATTAACTACCAGCAGTAGCTGGTGCCCTTGCCTAGGGATTCCTAAGGGTTTGAATTAGATTTAAAGATTGGATGTTTCTGAGTCTCATCCC